ATTTATTAAACAGTTGTATAAATATGCATAATTGTGAAACTAGGGTGTAGCCTGCCTATGTAAAGCACAAAAGATCAGTGGTGAAAAATGAATTTACTCACATACTATAGCCTACAACTCTGAGATACCCTAATTGTTGCTCCTTACAACACTGATCAGACAGCCTACTTTGCAGATCAGTATTTTCAACACAAAACATATGATCAGTTAATAAGATATGATTTATTATTATAAATAACAGTAGCAAATGCATAATTAGCTCAATCTAAAGCGACCACAACATTAAAGCACCGTTTGTGTATGAATTCATGAATATTAACAATATAATGATAATATAACACTGACTGCTCTGCATAATGAGTACTCAAGACCATCTAAACCGAATCAAAGTAGTGACCAAGACCAACACCAAGACTTTGAGGGGCTGTAACCAAGTCAGGACCAAAGCAGGGCAAGACCGAGTCATGACCAACAGAGGACCAGAGTGCATGATACGCTTAATGATAAAATGTAGAACATGCAAACCACATTGCCATAAAAACACTCACATATACATATAAATATATGTGTGTATGTATCTGTGTACCAGGAGGAATGTCATGGTAAAGTATTCAAAAGGCATTGCGGAATTGAATTTTATGTGGGGATCTTCCTTTATTTTCTTATGAGCACACAAATACAAACAGAAACTAAGGAGCTGAAATCAACTTCACCATCTTTATTCAACACCCCTTTTTTGCTCTGGTGATTTAGTGATATCCCTTCAGTTGTGCTCTTGATTAGTCTTGAAAAAAAATCCAGAAGTACGAGAGGAGGCCCAGACTGGTTTTGAGTGGTCTTGAGACTAAGGACGCATTCACACTGGCCCTATTTGGTCCGCTTTAAACGAACCCTGGTCCACTTCCATGGATAGTTCGGTTTGTTTGGAGTGGTGTGAACGCTCATTTGAACTCTGGTGTGGACCAAACGAGCGAACCCTGGTCCGCTTGAAAATTGGGGCTCTCGGTTCACTTGCAAGTGAACCCTGGTGCAGTTTGCTTACAGTGGGAAATGCAAACGGACTATCCAGCGAACCAAAGAGAGGAAGTGACGTAGAGCGCAGTCCATTTTTGGTAGAAAAAAAACAAAGCCAACAGCGCAAACTGGGAGAAGCAAAAGGAAAAAGTTGGAAAATGTCTCGTGGGCAGACGTGGAGTAGTGAGGAGGTGCAGACGCTTATTGATATATGTATTATTGGTATAGTCAGAGGACTATATAGTCAGAGGACTATATATCTCAGTTGCTTGTGGCTACCCACAATGGATTTCCGTTCTCGGACCTGGCCAACCAATGAGCCATTTCTTATTCTTTGTCATGCTTTTTTTGGTCAGTGGTCGTTTTGGGCAATACCACCCCAAACGAGCAGCTGTTGTAACTGTGTGATGTTGTCCAGGCAGAGTGGTCCGCTTTAAAAAGTGCAGTGTGAAAATGAACCGAACCAAATGAAGGTGTGAAATATTTCGGCATTCCTCGCCCAATCAAACCGAGTCCCCCGGACTATCTTGGTGTGAATGCGCCCTCTACCCAAGATCTTGAGTACTACAACACTGCTTAATGTACATCATGTCACAAATGCTTGTATTCATACATAATTTTGAATGCAGGACTTTTACTTATAATTTAGTTATTTTCATAGTGTGCTATTGCTACTTTTTTAAGTAAAAGATTTGAATATTTTTTCCTCCACTGTAAAGCATCATCACGAAAGACCTTGTGCATGCCTCAATGTTTGATGCTAGGATGCCTGCACTTTGCATCTTTCAAAAACTGAAACGTTATTATTCCTAGTGACAAAAACATGTCTTCTGTTATATAAAAAGTCATATTAGTTTGACATGTTGGCCTTAAGTCATCCTTGCCCTGTCAGATTACAACAAATGGCGTACTTATCCTTGTTGAAAACAGTAGCATTATGCTGTGACAATTAAAGAAAGCAACAGCCGACCTCATCAAAGACGAGGCAATCTCACTCCACAATGTTCGTTCCTCTTTCATCAGTCTTTTTACATTTTTTCTTTGTTTACTGTGCAGAATTTTATTTCCCCCCTAATTGCATCCAGCCTCATTGCTGCCTGGGGCATTGTGCAGATTATGTGTAGACTTGCCATCGCTTGTAACTTATTGAAGTTTAAAATGATTTTCAGCTCTCCCATGGGCATGCCTTTTGCATGTGGCACAGCAGTAACTAATAGATGTAATCTGCCTATAATGTCCCTGCATTATGCTGTACTATATAATAAGCTGCCACTGATGGCGAGTACCTCAACACAGTTCCTGAGTGGAAGTATCTGAACGACATTGATCAGTAATGATATTTTCATAGAGAAATATTGCTCAGAAAACAGGAAGATGTGCTGCATATTCACATGAAAGGCTTTCATGAGTGTGACACTGAAATTACGTGAAAGTAGTACACTGAAGGCCTGTATGGTACCTTAACTTTTATGTACTATAATTTTATTCCATATATACGCATACGATTTACATATGTGTGAGCCTAAAAGCTGCTGTAACAGTTAAGTTGGAACTGTTAACAAATAGCCTCAATACGAAGCCTGAAACTGTTATCTTAATATGGCCATCAAAACCAGCATGAGTGTAGTTAATGCAGAACTCAAATGTTCGCTTGTTATACTAAATGTGTGTGATTAATTTCTCCTGTTGAGTGAAACAAACCAACGTGCTGTGCCTGTCACAGTGATAGATATGGAAAGCATTAGCATCAACTGCTAGTGTGAATGAAAACTAGGCAGGATGGATTTGCCCGATGAACAGTTGTAGTGTGTGGACTGTGCACATCACTGTAATGTATAGATAACGTTTTAGAGGAGATGAGAGGGTTTCCCTCAGGGGTGTGACGAGAAAAATTTCACCAGCGATTGAGTACCCGTTGTTGAATTAAATAGAATTTCAGTTGCACAAATGGCTGCTGTTTTAAGTGACCACAGTGACAATATTAAATAGAGTTAAGCCTCGGAAGTTCTCCTAACATGATCATCTAGCTTTTGAGATCTATTTGGGTGTGTGCCTATCTTTGTGTGTTTCTCTCATTTCTTTTCTGTCTCTTCCTCACCGTCTCTCTCTCTTTGAACATCACTCTTTTTACACTCAGTCACACTCCCTCTATTGCTCTCCCTCTCTCCATCACTCCTTCTCTCAGGCAGTTAGACGGCCTTTAATTGCCAGACATTAAAAAGAATGCTAGAGAAGAAGAATCCCCTGGGGCCATTGGCAGGCTAAATGGCAGCTCTGCTGCCATCGCCTCCTCCTACATGCAGCAATGAAGACGTGTCAACATAATCTTGGGCAATTTGCAGTCATCATCAGGGGGACTGATTAATTTTCTGACTGAGTGTCAGTTGTAAACAGCAAGATTGTCTTTCTGCATTTTCATGTCTTACTTTAAAGGCAACCTATTATGCTCATTATAGTGTTCTACTTGTATTTTCAGTTTCTGTTAGAATATGTTTACATGCTTTAATTTTCAAAACACTATTTTTCTCACACTGTCTGTGCTGGAACATCTGTATTCACCCTCTGTCTGAGACACTACATTTTGGCACCTGTCTCTTTAAGTCCTCCTCCTGAAAAAGCCCAGTCTGCTCCAACTGGTAGGTGTTTTTTGGGAACTCCGTATCACTAGCACTTTATACACAGAAATCACACTCTAGGGCCGCTAAAAAGTCCCTTCTTTATACCTCCTTTGCATTTTTACACAGAACTAAACAATGGTGGCATCATTCCACTCTAATGTGTAATCATACATTACATCCCGCAATCAAAAGAGGCAAATCATTTACCTTTTCTGTTATATCTGCTCGGAGGGTGAGGAGCATTTTTTTCCCAATTAGCGGACATTTACTGCCGCCGTTCTTCTTCTCTGAGTTAGGAACTAATTGCTAACAGCTGCATTTTAAATCTCCCATGCTGTGGTCGCCAACATGTTATGGTAAATGGTAAGCTTGTATAATGCCTTTCTAGTCTTCAGAAAGGTCTTTGGTCACACACACACACATTCATACACCGGTGGCTGAGGCTACCATTCATGGCACCACCTGCTACTCAGTTTTTAACACACTCACACACCAATGGAACAGCTATCGGGAGCAATTTGGCGTTCAGTATCCTGGTCAAGGATACTTCGAAACACAGACTGGAGGAGTAAAGGATGGAACCACCGATCTTCTGATTAGTGGACAACCCGATGTACATTCTGAGCCACTGCCGCCCAAGGTGTCACACTGGCTTTATGTTCTACAGAGACCTTCTTTGGGGCTGTTACTACCTCAGTTCCCGGCTCAGAGGCGAGACAACTCTGTCCCCCTGATCGTACCTTATATAAGGAACAGCACGATGGCATAACAGCTTGATATTATCGCCTTGAACAAGCAGTGTAAAAGTGGCCACCGTGTCTCTGCACTCATCGCAGCTGGGAAATGACTGTGAAAAACCACTAATAATAGCTTCTAAACCAAAGTCTTTACAAGCGGACATGTTCCAGCAGGAAAACTGTGACAAAATTCACCTGCAACCAATATTACATGTTTCCCTGACGTTAGCATGTCGCTACATGTAGCAGTGTATGTAATGTGAATACTTGCAGTAACATGCCTGGAGATGACCAGTAAGGGAATTCCATCATGAGCTGATGTCTTAAAAGTAGAAAAAAAAAAACTTAAAGTATTCAGAATGGTCTGAAGTCTGAGGTTTTT